TGGAAACGAAAATTATTATTTATAATTTATGCTTCTACCTATACAACATAAAGTTGTATGGGATAATTCTACCCTAATATATATTATATATGTCAATTTTCCATTAACGGTAAAACTTAAGGATCTCACATCTCTTACCAAGTGTAATACAACTATTTTAACAGGAACGACAGCGATCAAATTTCATATTTAAACCTTCTTTAAACTTTAAAAATGCTCAGTCATTATCTCTAGGAGTTTATTAATGGATTTGAAAAATCATCAATATTTTTTAAAATAAAATAAAATAAAATAAAATATATTCTTTAGAGCGGCTATAAGGCTGATTAAAATTGTATGTTTCTAATAAATTAGTAAAATAAAATAAAATTTGTAATTTAATTAGTAAAATGTAATATAAAATGAGTTTCAAAAACAAATTTTAACATTATATTTAAAATTTAGCCTCTATACAAGATGATCTCCTCTTTCAAGCTAACATTTTTTTAATCTGTTAATAAATATAGTCAGAAAATAATTTCGCGTTTTAAGGTTTTTTTCTGTATTTATGAAATTTGATAGCTTCCGTCCTACTTTATAGATAATACGAGTAACTTTTTTAAATAAAATTAAACTAATATGAAACGAGATATAAATACTCTCTATGACACAGGTTTTCGTGCGTTTTATAATGTTTTGAAGTCTCATATTATTATAATCATGAAAGAAACAAGTCAGTTAAAATCTTTGATAAATATTCTGATTAAATTGTTTTGAAAAAATATAAAAGTGTAAATGTTAATTCGTTTTTTCAATTCAATGATTAATTTTAATTTCAAGAATTGGATTTTTTTTTAAATTGTCATTGGTATTCAATTTCTCAGAAAATGAAAATATAAAGAGAAGAGCGGATAGTAGAAAGTAGATACGGAACATTTGAAGTGGGGAGGATTGGAAATTGATTTTTAATAGGATGCTATGCAATTTTTTCATACACAGTTCTGCTGCTGGTGTTGTTTGAATGTATTACGTCAATGATTTGGCCAGGCTGTCAAGGAAAACATCATATATTTTGACGTGTTATAAGATAATTTAATTTTTTTGTGTGAGCGAAAAATCACACAGTTTGAATAAAAATATTGTACCAAATTTGGAGGTCTATGAGTAGGTACCTATATAATATAATACATTACTTGTACTTTTATAAAGTTAACTGTCAAGTAATAATGCTTCTTGACCAAATTTCTGTAATTATATATATTATACTATTGTTATTGAATAAAGTAGTAATTTTTTACTTATTATCAATTATTCTATAGATTGCTAATAAATGCATAGAAATAAAAACATTTCATTTTTGAATTGATATACAATATGTATTAGGTAAGTTTATTGAAACGGTGTTTTTGTCTGTTGAAATTCTTCATCTAAATTTAGTTTCTATCTGGTAGTTTTGGTTTTATTATCAGTTATAATTTACTTTTTAAGTACCTAATAAAAATAATTGTATAAATCATTGATTAAAAAGGTGGGAAAGTAATGCAACATGCTGTACATGAAGTGTCGCTGCAGGCTGCACTAAAATATATGTGTTAAATTTAAATTTGTAAACGAAAAACGATTCCAGGTGAAGACATATTATTGATTTTTAAGTATTTATTTTACTATTAGTAATACAGTAGGTTGAACTAATTGTTGCTGAAAACATTTGATATGGGTACTTTAAAAGTTTCAAATACCCATGAATAATATTTTAAAATTTAAAAAAAAAACAGTACTTGAATCTTTTTCCTCTGTAAAATATCTAATTTTGTCCACATTTTATCTTAAAATATGTTTTTTTTTTTAAACAGCGTTCAAATAATTTTTAGATGTTTTGGTCACAGTATACAATACCTATGAGAAACATCATATTAGATATTCTAAAAAAATATGGATAAAAAAAACACACATCATTACATTTATCTCTCCGTTCATAATTATACAATAATTATAAGTATATAATGTGCAATATGTTAACAACATAAATTTAACTGCAGCCCTGAAATATTGTTAATAATCACCAGGTACCAGGTTGAGAACCACTGCTATTAGAATTTATTAATATAATTCCATTGAATGGCTATGTATTAATTTAAGGAATCTCTTTGGTCCCATTTTTGAATTTTCGATATACAATAATGTTGTGGTATGCACGATTTCTTACTATAATTCTATAGCACATTTCTATAGATTCGTTTAAATTGATGACACGTCTATAAATGATTACGGTATTAATATTCTCGTGGTTCATTGATTTTTTTTCAGAACGTAGTTGTATTAACATGACATCTCAAAAGTTATGTGATTTATAGTAATGTTACTATTTGCATTAATTGCAGGAAACAGAATTGTTTTTATAAATAATAATATTTGTATGTAGGCCCTACTAATCAATAATACCTACGTGTGTAACTATAATGGTAAATAGTAATTTAGGTTTTTAACATAAAGAAAACAATTTAAGAGTTTACATTTACATAAAGGTATCAGAATTCAACGATTCTTTTTGAACACAATATAAATAATGAGAAAATGAAATATTATTCATTGGCGCATACTAAATTATTATATTATTTTTATTTTTATTGAACAAAACGCTTCAACGGCAATGGTTATCAGCATACAGTCATTTAATCAAATTTTTTTTTTTATATATTAAATTATTATGTACTAAAATATTTATGTGTTAGTGTACTATACTGTGTTTCCACTCACAATGTAGACAACACATTTAAAAGTCTAATTTGCTCATTTACTCGAATTGTTCCTGTAAACACATTTTTGTGTTTTGTTTAAAATGTTTAAATTGAGTTCACCGTTTTCTTGTTGTGTATTATATCGGGACATAAAAATATGAACTGTAATATTCTTTCACGACATAAAATATAATAAATTGCCACCACTATCTACCGTTCTTTTACCGATTTTCATTTTTTTCTAATTACAATGTCTACCAAACGACGTTCAAACTTTAATAACTTCATACTGCGTTCAGAGAGGAATAAAATATACTTACTAATATAGTAATATTATTATAATAATCCACTGTTGTGTTTGGTTCTATGAACCTATATCTATTATCTCGAGTTTTCTAGAAATTAAATTTTATATAAATTAACACATACGTGATTAAGGTCGCACCTTTTTTATTGTAAATTCCAATTTTTTTAAACAGATAAAATTAATTTTTCTTTCCCGTTTTATAGTAGAGGATATTCAGTTGCGCGCCTGTGCATAAATGTATTTTCACGTAAACAGCGTACAAAAAATAAATACATACATAAATTAAAAGTAATAATGACATGGTCAGTGTTTTTTGAAAGTAATATAATGATCGAAATATAACATGTGTTTATAATAATATAACAATATATCATACATTGATTGGCTTTATAAATTGACTGTGTTTAAACTCCTGTTGTATTTTAATAACAAATTAAGACAGTACCTATAATTTAATGCATTTAATGATTATGAATTGTTATCCCTGTGTTCTTTATTGCACATGCTTCATAATAATAATAAATAGTGTCACAAAAGCAAGGATGTAATAATATTGCGAATTCTCTATTCACTACGCTGGTCAACACCATAACGACAAATTTATCGACTTGCATTGTAATAATCGAATTTCACCTTTTCCACGACATAGTAGTATGCGCTACTTGTGGCATTCTAGTGAAATTCGACTCAACTAAAATAGTGAACGTTATATTACTTCTAAGCTTATACCATGTAATATTTGTTTCATAGGATAAACCTATTTCGAATTTTGAGCACATATTATACAAATAAAAATAAATAATAATTAAAAATAAATAAATCATTAATTATTCAATAATAATTTATATTGTATACAAATTCCAACCATCAAAACGTTGATAAATTATTCGCGTTATTGGATAAATGTTAGTAATGAAAACATTCCACTACACATTTTCTAAACATAGAACAATGAACGCTTGTCAAATAAAAAAGTTCAAAAAGCTACATTTTCCCATTATGAAGTAGGTTATGTTAGGTTATTAAAAAAACTTGATTTTTTTCCTAAATAAATATGTATAACGGTCTGCACCATTCTTATAAAATATATATCTTCACATCGTACAAAAAACAACAGAATTGATAAAATTAAAAAGCTCATCGTTATAAATCCACCCTAGGCGAACCACAAGTGTAACTCTTCATGCCCACCTTCAATGACAACAACTAACCACTCGGTACTGCGGTATTGCACATATTTTGTGTGTACCGTTAACGTATATTACGTCGACAGTGTAATATTGAACAGCGCTGGTTCGCATAGGTCGGAGTGCGAAAGAGCGCAAGCGCTTAACTACTACTTAAGTATGATTTTCTGGTTGAACGGTTGAGATATAATATTCAGAGAGGGAAATAAATAGTGAGAGCCAGCTGGGAGCGGTGTGGAGTGGTCTTAGAGTGGGGCAGAGAGTGAGGAAGTGCCGTAAAACTAAATGCAAAATGAACAATCGGCACATAACTACATCTGCAGCATCTCTGACGGCAGACTTGTCTCGAGACTTGCATATACGTACTCGTAATAATATATTTTATAAATAAAGACGTATATACGTCTTGAATTGACGATTAACGCGAGACGACCCGCACACACACACACACACACACACACCCGTGGCGGCGGCTGTTCCGCACGAAAACTTTATAAATTCGTAGAAAACTTTGCCGGAGTCTTTGGCGCGGGACCGCGGAACGACTGTTACGTACAGACATTTATTATGATAATATAGGTACTCATATTATTTGTATAAAATAAAACGCAACGTCGTTTCGAATGAACTTTTTATTGGATTAAAATATGATAGTAATAATAATAATAATAATAATAATAATACACGAAAAAAACATGTTTATATAACCATCTAACCGTTATACTACGATAATAATTTTATAATATATTATGATATACTAAACGTTGCGTGTTATTAGAAAATGCTATTTAATATTGTAATGGTTTTGTAGTAATTTGATGTGACGTTGGTATATTTTTTTTTTGTTTGTTAAAATTGAAATAAAAAATCATATACATAAATATAACAATATTCATATATATGAATATTCGCTGCTCGCTTGTGTTTCAACCGTACAGTTGACAGGACGTAGAAGAAGATCGTCGACTAGTGAGGCTTGACCACTTTGCTGGCCGGTGGCGGAATCTTCGTGAATCCGGCAGAGTCGAACACTGGTAACAGGTCACGTATACGGTGACCACTGGTAGTCACCAGATCCATCAGACGGCTGGAAAACAATATCATTTACGGTACATAAGTGATCAAATAGTACGAAATGTAAGCTATAAAATTGTTTTGTAGTTTAGTTTTGTATATACACTCGTCGAATCGTATCAGTTCAGGCAGATATAACATCATCAATAATGTATATTCGTTCGTGTTGAACACTGTCAGACACATCCGGACAATATAATAATAAAATAATTACTGTCGTTACCCGTGTAGGTACATAAATAAATTGAGCATCCCGGATGAGTTTTAATTACTTATCCAATTATAATACGAAATACCATTTGAAATCGGACTGTTTGTGAGTTCCGAAAGAATATTATGTAGCGTGGTTGGGTGTGGTGTGATTGCCCGCAGGGAAAACTCAAAATTATTTGTTCCATGCGTATTTAGTATGGGTACAAAAGTATACTATTGGATAAAATATAATATTTACCTATCTCAATGTCGCGTAGACTTTACATGGTTTACCGGTCCATATTTTATCATTCATTATATACCTATATAACTAAATGTTATCTAAAAGGTAAATAAAACTATGGAACTAGCCAACTTAAATAATTTATAAACGTTTTCACAAAATTTAAACACAAACAAAAATATCAACTTTTTTCTCCTATCTTTACTGGTCATGCTTCTAAAAAACCCACCACTTCGACCAAAACGCAAATGGTGTAGAGACTTTTTAATTTAATTAAGAGGTGTTGCTATTGGTGATTTTCTCGTCATGTTGTACATGCCGTGTATTATCCATTAGTTTATCAAATTTACTGATCGTCATATTATTATTGTACAGATTATTTATTTAGTTTATTTTTTTATTTTTAGCTTCCAGTGCAAAGTATGATAGCTCAACAGTTATATCGATATACATAAGATAGTTGAATATACATTTACATGTACAATAATAACGAAAAATAATAATTTAGATATTAATAAAATAGTGTTAAAAATACATACCTATAGATTAAAGACCCATTAAAATGTACATGTTGCAGATAACAAATTTGGTGATAAAAAATATTATAAATTTAAAACAGATTACAGATTGTTAATTAACTTGTTTAAAATGATACAATTAAATAAAATATCGATATTTAGGGCTAAATAGTGTAGATAAGGAACATGAATAAGTAGTGATTTTCTTCTGCAAGGAGTGGTTCGCATGTATTTTAATAAAATCATATAATTTGCTATAAAAGTTACATTTCCAAATCGATGCAAGGATGCGTGAAGACCGGAGAGTTTACCACCCAGAAAAAGCATTAATTGAAAAAAAACTCTCCGGATTTGAATCTGAAAATTTGAACCACACGAACAATGCGAACAAAGAGAACAATGTACGTACGCGCCAAAACTGAGAACGTCAACCAATTCGTTTGGGTTTTATCTCGCGGATTTATTTCGGGGGACAACAAGTGATGGGGATTCCGCAAGAAAGGAAAACTGCTATTATATATTATATTTATAAGAAAACGCCAGCACGGTTCGCATAATAATGTTGTGTGACATCTCTCAAAAAGTAATTTCAACAAAACACGTACCTATGCGTATTGCGTATAAAATATTATTATTATACATACAAATACATTACCTATTTTATATTATTACAAAAACAACAACAACTCCTGTTATTATGTTATGATGTGTATACTGTAGGGGTATACATCCATATTATGCGTAGGTACACGATATGATGCGACCCGACGATGGTAGTTATTTTTACCGGCTTTATCATGCATTATAATTAGAGAGGTGGGCATCATGCCTATTATAATAATATAGTAATAATAAGTAGGCATATGCAAGCACACATAATATTAATATCATACACACCTACAACATCCCTGTGGATTTTTAACTCGATCCTTTATCTCCGTCGCCGTTTTGCGCATTTCACACACTAATCGCGTGGGGTATACGCTATACAGGGTGATCAACAAAACATGTTTACCCCAATTGTTTCCTCAGACAATAAATTAATTCAAATTTTGATTTTTAAATATACTTAAAGGCCACATTTTCAATTAATTGAAATTTTTTCACTTGTGGTGATATAAGCTTCTATTTTTCAAATTAAACCTCCCATGGTTTGACCGTAGACTATTGAAAGAACATTCTTTTTTAATTTTATTTTTTGTGCAGGTACCTCCTAATTAAAAATTGGAAAGAGTTTTTAAAATGTTTAGAGGTTTATCCTTGAAAATAATTTTACTAAAATATAAAATAATTGTAATATTGAAACTAGTATTTGTTATATTTGGTCCATTTATCAAATTATTAATGTTGATAGTTTAATATAAATTAGTACATTTTTCAAACCACCATACTCAAGACTCCATATTTCCCAATCCTATGTTCATGGACAATATAGGTAATCCTTAGTATACAAAATGAAACAACTTAAAATACTAGTCTTTTTAATTTTGACTTTTATACATCAACATTTGAAAAAAAATTATTTGCAATATAATTTACAATATAAAATGGAATTCCTATTTTAAAAACGATAGTTTATACATCCACATTTGGCAGAGTACTACTTTAATATTGCAAACCAATCTCAAACATTTGAAATTATTGTCTTTAAGTAAGTATTTTTAAAAATTCCAAAAATTCAGAATTTGAACTTATTATTGGAGATGAAATAGGGACGAGTATGCTTAGTGAATTACTCTGTATATATAATATCTATATTAAAGACGATATCTGCTCTCCCTGCGAATTTCGCAGCTCAAGTAGCTTACCAAAGTAGATTACCAAAGTCGTGCACCCGGTGACGAGACCAATGTGTGTGTGTGTGTGTGTGTGTGTGTGTGTGTGTGTGTGTCACTATTTGAACAAACACGCATGGATGTAATATAATAATAATACGTACCTACGGGAAAACGCTGTGTAATATGGTACGCTTGTTTAAATATTATTTTCGTTTGAAAACTCAAAACTGACACAAAAAAAAAATTTTAATGACAAAAACCAGAGACAAAAAGTAGTACACTCAACATTATACCTTTACAAACGCATAAAGTTTCCTTAATCGATAACTAAATAATTATAATACAAGCTAAAAGGTAAATTTAACTAACAATTTTCAATAAAAGTATTTTTTTTAGAATTTATACAATTATATACATTTTATCATCACTATACTTGCATATAATAACCCATAACCATTATATTATATAACATTCCGCCAATTATTTTGAATTATTAAAATGTAATGTATTCTAAGATTTTATTGATTTAAATGCCATTATACTTTATGTTATGCATTTTGTTTTCAATTCAGTTCAAAAACACATATAGGGTTAAGATATAACGTTTTATAAATGTATTAATAAATGTATCAATAATTACAAACACTGAGCACATATATTTTGTTTCATTACTTGGGAAATCTATAACCTTGGAAAAGTGTACTTTTTTATTCGCCGATTGTTGACTTACACAATTATTAACTTTAATTGATACAAAGATTTAATGAAATTAAGAATACTTAATGACTAACTTTATCTAATGAAAAAATAACTATTAAAATAGTTTAATTTAATTAATTTAACTGAATAAATCAAAATTTTTAAAATTTCAGTAAGCAAGTTCTAGTTAAAACGATTTGATACAGTTATGATAACCTAATATAAGATTAGGTTGCGTTTGGCAAAATTAACAACACGAAATGCTCATAGATTTTTTTCATTGATAAAATTACTCTCGGCGACATAGGATGTTGAGATGCAAATATTATTTAAATCGCAGAGGCATAGATTATTATATCGTCAAACTGCATTATAATATATTTATATTATATTTTCGCGAAAGCAATTGTAGACCAAAAGTGGAAGTGCTACAATAATATTATATATTTTTTTTTATCCGTTCAGCCTTTTAGCCTCTTTCAAAAAGGCTCGGAAACCTTGGGATCCAATATGGACGCACGATAATAATAAATTGAAAATATCGTGATCATCGTTGACGTGTGGGTCTCAATAGACCACGCGAAAGGCTGACGGTCGTGTGTGACCCATATTACGTACGATGCTCGCTGTGCTGCCCGCGGCCCTGGAATAAAATCCAATAAGCCGTCTGTGCCACCAGTCAACTCGAAAACGATATTATATTGTTGTTCGAATTATGTGCCAAACATTGAAAACTATTACATGAGTGGCAATTATTATTTGACTTTGTTTATTTACTTATTCCATTGTAGATACGTTGATTACTGGAGGGGCACTGTTTTATTTCAGCAACAGCATTCAGTGAAAATGTATGTGAATATCAATGTGAATATAGTTCTGTTTTCAATTTTCATTAGACACATTATACAAATAACAACGTAATGCATATAAAAAATAAATGCATATTTACGAGGGCGTATAGAGTCTTTGACTTCGTCAAACCGGCGGAATATGCGTCATAATAATGTCTCAAAATTTTGACTTTTGACAAAAAAAAAACCGAATAAATTCGATTTGTTGACCTATAATACTTGTAATAATACGTGCATGATGTGGTTAATAATTAATTAATATCTATTGTTATTTTGAAAAGTATTACATTTTTTACAAAAACATTTTAATGTTCGGCGAAACATATTTTTTACAATTCGATTTGTTATCGTTTAAGATTTTACTCATTTGAATGGCATCATAAACTTTTTTGCTCTTAAACAGGATATGATCCCGGACTGTTTCAACACGCATAAACATTTAATTTCTGACGACTAGTCTTTAACTTTTACAAGCGTTTAGAGTGTAGACTAGTGACCAATGGAGTGCGCAGTAGTACACTACAGCCAATGTTCGTAATATTATTAACATCGTTACAATATTGTAAATTATTTTTATCGGTTATTGATCGTGTGTCTCGTCGTCGTATCATGCGAATAATAACCGCAATAATGATGACGATGATGATAATAATAATAATAAAATACCTATTTGGCGGCAACGATTTCTTTTTCGGTATGACGGGCGAGGCGGCCTCCACCGGGAAGAAAGTGGCCCCGTAAAAGTCCAAGCCGTTGTGCAGCAGCACGTTGCACTCCTCGACGGACGCCAGCGTGACGCGCACCACGGGCGGCGCCGGGTGGTGTTGTTGCGTGTTCGCAGACGCGGACCCGCCCGCCGCCGCCGCCAGCGACGATGCCGGTCCGGCCTGCAGGAGCTGTTGCTGTTGCTGTTCAACAGCTGTCTGCGACGTAGCCGCGTTCTTGCCGTCCGCCACGGTCAAGGCCGCGTGGCGGTACCCTGGAATGGAAAAAAAAAACAACTTTGTGGTGAGAACGGTACCGCATCCGCGACGATCATCGCGCGGGGTGATGGGTCTCTGCTGCGGGTGTGTGTAAGTACAGGTGGGACAGGGCGAGGGGTTCGGCGACATAGTGCGTGATATTGAGGTGCAGGGGCGTAAGGACGTGGAAAACATATAACGTAGGCATTTGTCGCGAGGCATTTACACTTTTCCGAGGATACCGTTTCCGTGACATATGCCTACATAGGTCGGGTTATACCTAGTTCCTTTTAAAACTGAATTCAGTGTCCACTGTTAACCAATTCACCTCGTCTTACGTGTCCACGGTGAAAAACCCCGTTTGAAAAATAACCGGGGATTATATACTTATTGCATATTTAATTAATGCGATAATATGTAATTTCGAGTGTAATTATTAAAAAAAAAAAAATGTCACTTTTTAATGATCGAATCATTTTTTTTTTTTTTTAACTCGATTACAATTTATAGTAATCATTGTACGCGATGTGGTTCATAAGTAACAGACTTATTTAAGTTGTGTTCGTCGATTATACAACATACAGAATTCAACAAATGTTGTCAACGTTATCGAATATGCATTTCACATATATAATTGTTATTTGTTAAAAGTTTTTATTCGAGATTCGTTCTTTTTACTTTCGGAGAAACATGTTGTACGGAAACAAGTATTATTTTGTATTTGCGTGAAATGTACTATTTATTCTGAAAAAATTCCATTATAACGTATCTTAAGTGGACTACCGTGTATTTTGTCACACAAAAAAAATGAATTCTTTGAGTATACACAAAATCACCATTTGCCAACGAGAGAAATGAATAAAATAAAAAAAAACATTCAAGTTCTGTCGAATCGATTACAAATTTCGATTTAACGACAACTATATAAACATTTATAGGAGCAGTTTTTAACGAAGATAATCTTATGCGACCAAAAACCAAATTAATATTATCTAGTAGAAGGTCGATCAAACATTATAAAAATATTAAATAACCAAAAAAATAGTAATAGTATTATTACACGAGTCTAGTCTATAGTCTAGTCATTAACGATGTGAAATTTGATGTGTTTTTATACAATTTTTAAATAAATAATAATATTTTTAATGATAGCTGATTTAATATAGGGTATATGGCCAAATATTAATGACGTTTTAAGAACAACAAATTTTAATACTAGAAAAGTCTAATATGAGAAGTAATAAATATAGTGTTTTTTGTATTTTAAATTAAAAAACAGTTTTCTCGTCGATACAAAATTAGCAACAAATGCACGACTCTAATTTTCTTTCAACATTATTTCTAACAGGTGGCTATAATAATAATGACGCAGAAGTTACAGACCCGTATATATGGGGAGGGGGGACAGAATAGGTTGCAACCCCCAAAGAAATTTCAAGAAAACCTAAAAAATATTTCCATGGTCTATGAAAGTCGCTAAAATTGTCTTAAATTCATTTTATTATTTTAAATTCATATCTTTATTTTGTCCGCCTATCATATAAGTTAATGGGCAAAATTGTACAGTGGTAAAACGAATACTGGGAATCGTAGATACCTACTTATCATAAACCTGTCGCTAACGATCGCCGAAAGGCAGAGAGGCACAGTCACACCCTTTTCTGAAAATAATTTTATCGATTCGGGTAATCGTCTCGTTGGTTTAGCATTATTAAATATTCATAGAAATATTTTTGTAACTGATGATCATATGGTTTTAGACAAGTTTGCCAAAAGTATATACGAGACGGGCGTTTACAACTTTATTTAGTACAGACATTTAGTAGGTAACTAAAGATACATTGTGATGAATATTATTTTATGATACATTAAATATCATTTTTTTTTTTTTTTACTATACAATGAATAATGACTCCTCCCCCCAAAATAAAATTCTGTGTCCGCGCCTGGAGTTGTAATGTTGTATAATATAAACAGGACAGTATGACGAAGATTCGAGATGAAAAAGTTCCAATAACTACTTTAATTTATTAATTAAATGTTTTATAATAATATATTTGAAGCATTTGAAAAAGGTTAATTTGCAAAAGAAACAAATAATGATAAGAGACATTTCCATGCTTATTTTTTAATGTAATTATTCAAGGAATATCTTTTTTTTTAAATTTAAATACAATTATTTCAACTGGAAAATAAGTTAAAACAAATGCTGCCTCTATTGTTACGTACAAAAAATAGAGGTTAAGTTTAAACACTAGCATAAAGAATAAAAAAAAATCAGTTTAGCTTTTTATAGCATTGATGCAGGTACCTACTCATATTTTAAGTTATGTAAATCACGAAATAAGATGAAATAATAAAAAAAAATGTAAATCTGTATGCCAAAAAAGTAGTTGGAAAACTAAAAAAAAAAAAAAAGTAAACGTATTCCCGTAGCCTCAGACCTCTTCGAATTTCGAGGAAAATTGTGGAATTAAATTTGACTGGTCTGTCGGTGTAGGGATCAATAATATCATATTATATCGTTAGAATTTACATGTCGAATGGTAGGTATAACGATATCGCACATATTTATTTATACATTTTTAACAGTATCACATGACGTTTACACTGATGACGTGCGGGGGCATCGGCCGACAGCGTTTTCGGCGCCTGGCGACAGTCGCGAAAACCGTATGCCGTCGTCTAGTCGGTCGTGTAATTAGAACGACGCGACGCGCCGAGAGCTCTCTGAGACGACGGAGCGGCGGCGGCGGCGGCGGCAGCAGTGGCGAAAGGTTATATTATTACTATTATTATTATTATTATTATTATTATTATGTATACGCGTGGTGAGCCAGCCAGCGGGAGACGCGACGCGTCGCAAGTGGAAAACCGTCGCCGGGCAGTGGGACGGCGGGTGGTGCGGGTGGTCAAGGGACGGGGGATTGCGGAACGGAAAACTCTATCATTGCCACCCGCCGTCCGTTTCAGCAGTCGCCGCCGCCTCTGTGACGCCCACCGGATTTTTAGAATTCAATTATCTAGGCGCTAAATACATGTATAAAATAATATACTTCACACACACACACACAGAGTGTTTGCACACTGCGTTTCTATGTTATGTTCTATAATTATTATTACGACCTCCCGCAACGCTATCGGCGCACTACGTGATGAGCTGCAGTTCACCCACACCACCCACCGTACAACCACCAGCTGACAGCGATGCTGCGTTGTCCGCAGAGACAACTAAGGATGTTCGTAAAATAAATTCGCCCCTATCGCTGGGATGGTGCTAGAAAAATATTTGACGAGTTGTGCCCGGCTTGCATTGGGTATAATATTATTATGTCATAAGGATATGGAAAGGACATTGATATTATAGTTGATATCGTTTAACACGCCTTGAAAATACACGTCGACGCCGCGTCGTACCGCAGTGGTAACACGCGGTTATGATCGTGGTGACCTCAGCAGTCAACATAACACACAACACGACAAACGTATTCCGTGCAATAAAGGTTCCGAGCGTGTCCAAGTACTAGGTGTCTAGGTGTATTACTGTATTAGGTACAGGTTTGTCCTAACTAAACATATTGTATTTTACATTTTTAACAATGTATTGATATCATAAATATTCATAACCTTTAATCACTATCACTCCCAGACTGCACTATTCCTTTACGAAAATATTTAACATCCACATTTGGTTTCCGAGTGCTACAATCACAATTTCCAACGACCACCGTGTTGACTTTTGTTTTCCCGTAGACAACGGTTTGGAAAATAGAAATTCTAATGCTGTATCGCATAATACAGTTTCCTAATTCATTATAAATGTGAAAGACTTGTTGCATGACTTTTAACATCCAAGCGACTTATAACCATAGACCATACCTATTAGACAAATTACCAAACTACCTACACCCTTCACTGGTATATTGTATACGAACAATATTATTGGTGTAGTGTAGTAATCTAATCGTTTTTACCTACACGCATAAAGTATTAAATCGTGATTTCACATTACAAGACAGACATAAGCGACAAGCAAAACGCATAGTGCCATCGTTGTTGTTCGACCCGTCCATTATTCTTCTGCGTATTATTATTCCACCCGAAACAGCAATCGATTTTTTTGACGATATAAGGCGACGCTGTGGATAATAAACTGCATGCTGTGCATATTATATATGGCGTGTATATGATATAACGTCGTAATGGAGCAGCGCGTGTATAAATCATTTTAATAAGACGGTCGGTTCATTTTTTTTCTACCTAATTGAAACGTTACTTCATCAGAAATTTGATATTTGATACAACGGCTGCACGAAAATCGAGCTTACCAATATTATACGCGTGTATCCTAGTAAATAATAACATTAAGTGTTATGATATAATTTTACATAGGTACCTACCTAATTATTATTCACCGTAAAAAAAACAAACACGAAACATCTTTAATATTGGCAATATTATTATACAGAAATACATTTTTCTTTGGAAATTAAGTTTTGACTGTTTTGAGAAAAATAAATTTCAAGAGGCCAAAACAATAGGTACCAGAAAATTTAAGCCTAAACAAAACAAATGAGTAAAATAAAATACTTTAAAGTTATAATACCAGAAGGTGGCCTATTTTGTAGTAGACACTTGTTTAATATGTCTTCCTTATATTAGTGATACCAGAAATAATTTTAATAAATAGTCAGTACAAAACGATATGATTTTAGTTATTAGGCAGACTGTTATAAGAAAATAGGTATATTTATGAATAATAACAATTAATTTTTATAATTCATAAAAATATATTCATATCTGTAATTAATTCATAAATTATTCAAACATGTATTAAATTGTCGATATCGCTTAATGCCGGTTGTGAAACTTTTGGAAATCGCTATTTGTTTTTTTTTCTAGGGGGGGGGGGTGATTTGTTTTTTAACATTATTTAGTAAATACTGGCCTCTAGGTATTATAATTTTAATGTACATTATGGTGAAATCTAGAGTGGAAACTATAATAATATATTACG